TAACCTTCCCTGAGCCACTGCTAGCTGTGTGTATCCCACTGACAAAGTGAAAATTGTATTTTGGGCCGTGTTCTTCATCTGATACTTGCAAAGGAAGCCTGAGTTAACTTTATACATTTTGGCAGTCCCTTTACCCAACTACAAGCATGCTTCACAGACTACCAGACTCCAATCCAAGACAAATGAAAGTGGACGATCAGATTTGGGGGAGAGAGAGGTGTGAGCAGCCTCAGAGAGACAAGACTGTAACATAACTGGGTCTCAAATGCCAACAGTATGCAGGTGATTCCCAGTTCTATTTGAAGTGCCAGAGTCCAGTGCCTCAATGACAAGTAGTTGAACAAAGATAAATCTGAGCAAGATGGAAGAGATATTCTAGTCTATATAGCTGTTTATACCATGCTCATCATTGTAGTATCTGAAAGCCTTCCTGTAGTGCATTAAGCAATGTGACTACACACTGGTCACGTGTTTGTTCTCTCACTCTCTCCCCGGAAGGAGAAACATGTGCAGACGTGTGTTTTATTTTGGTAGGGTTTTTTTACAAAATAAATATGCCTGTTGCTATGTGTTTGTATTAGAGAAAGCAAGATCAAAGAAGTGTGCTTTGTACTTGGAGCGGAAAGGGGTGAGATTTCGGTCTCCCACACGGACGACCTTTACTCTCAATAATACGAGTTCCACTGGGCCAAAAAAGCGTAGTTGTCAACCATAGCCTTTGTCCCAGAGCTTTAGATGGTCTTTTAGGTATCCTGGGTCCAGGCCATGGAGCGCTATGAATACAAGGACCATGCCCATGAACTTGATTTGAAGCCAGCAAAGAGAGTAGGACAGTTGTGATGTGTTCATGGTAGTTTCAACAACTAGTTCAACTACAGTCACTGTCTCAAGCACAGAACTCTGCCCGTTGATCATCAAAATAGTTTGCAGTTTTGGGATCCTCTTGGGTGTGGTCTACAGTGGGGGGGGGGGGAAATCGATCTAAGATACCCAACTTCAGCTACGAGAATAGCATAGCTGAAGTCGACGCATCTTAGATCGCATTAAAATTACTTACTTCGCGTCCTCGCGGTGCTGGATCAACGGCCGCGGCTCCCCCGTCGACGTTGCTTCCACCTCTCGCACTGCTGGAGTTCAGCAGTCGACGGGAGAGCGATCGGGGATCTATTTATCATGTCTACACTACACGCGATAAATCGATCCCTGATAGATCGATAGCTACCCGGTGTAGACGTACCCTTGGACTGTTCATTGCCACTGTATTTCCAAATACCAGCAGCTGCTAAGAACACCTTTCCTCCACCTCCCCTATCTGGCCAGGATGCTACACTCTATGGTGGACCTGTATCTGTGTGTAAGATGCTCTGATACCATGACAACAAACTTGTTATACATGCCTAGACCAACAGGCTTGATCTGCCAAAAATCCTCAGAACTCTCAGCTAAGGAATAAGTTAACCCCTTCTGAATGTGTTATGGAAGAAGAGCAGAAGAAAGAAAGCAACGCTCACCATTTTCAGACCTTAGCACTGACCCTTCCTAAATAATTACCATAAAAATACGGTTAGCAGCAACTTAGAATATCAGGGTTGGAAGAAACCTCAGGAGATCATCTAGTCCAACCCCCTGCTCAAAAGCAGGACCAATTCCCAACTAAATCATCCCAGCCAGGGCTTTGTCAAGCCTGACCTTAAAAACCTCTAAGAAAGGAGATTCCACCACGTCCCTAGGTAACCCATTCCAGTGCTGAAGGTGTCAACATTTTCTGGGTACATACCAAGTGCTTGAAAAGACTGTCTAGGGCTTTGTCTACACTACGCACCTTTTAGCGAACGGCTGTGCCATTACAGCCGTGCCGCTAAAAGACACGCAGTGTAGCTGCTGGTTGTCGGCAGGAGAGAGCTCTCCCACTGACAAAAAACTTCCACCCCCAGTGAATGGTGGTAGCTTCTGCTGACAAAGCGCTGTTCAAACCGGTGCTTTTCGTTGGCAAAACTTTTGTCGTGGGGGGGGGGGTGGTTTTTTTACCACCTCTGAACAACAAAAGTTCAACTGCCAGTGTAGACAAAGCCTAGGATTTAATGGCTTTCTGCTACTTTCTTTACTTTGCTGACCTGTAAGGAGAAATCAGCATAAAGAGCGAAGCATTATAGGCTCTGTCATTGCTGAGGTGAAAATACCAATAAAATCTCTCCTGGGACTGGTTTAGCAAGACAAAAGGCCTCCTAATGCACTCTCCTGTCATTCTGGACTGATGCAACTTGTGATAACTTGCTCGTTTTTTATTCCCAGCCTCATCGTACCTTAAAATATAATAAAGTAAGTATCCAGACACCTGTTGGGCACATGGGTACCAGGGCTGCCATGCGAATGGATGGCACAGAGCAATAATTCCCGAGACCTTCTTGTGTTTTAATAGGCCTCAGGAGGCCCTAGAGGAAATCTGATTGGAAATTCATTTTTGTACCTAATCTTTAAAAGGCATCTATCTCCTTCTAGATGTGCAAGCTCCCTCCTCAATGCCCACTGCTGCTCCTCAGGCAGAACGTCACTACCCAGCCTACCAGGCAGGGATGCTCAATGGAGCACTGTTTATAACAAATGCTGCATGATTCCATTTGTAAAGCTGTGGGGAGTGAGGTAAAATGAAGGGCGGACTGCATATCGGCATGAGGAAGATAGACATTGAGAAAGAATAGCAGACAATAAGATGGAACGGAAGCCAAAACAGGGGAAGAACAGGTTAAAGAATATTTAAATAAGTTAGATGTATTCAAGTCGGCAGGGCCTGATGAAATTCATCATCGGGCACTTAAGGAACTAGCTGTAGCAATCTCAAAACCATTAGCTATTATCTTTGAGAACTCCTGGAGGACAGGTCAGGTCCCAGATGACTGGAGAAGGGCAAACATAGTACCTATATTTAAAAAGGGCAATAAGGAGGACTCAGAGAATTATAGACCAGTCAGTCTAACTTTGATACTGGGAAAGATACTGAAACAAATTAGTAAACAACCAATTGTTAAGCGCCTGGAGGATAACAGGAATAGGAGCAGGATAAGGAATAGCTAGCACGGCTTTGTCTAGAACAAATCCTGCCAAACCACCCTAATTTCCTTCTTTGACAGGGAAACTAGGGAAATGTGGTCTAAATGAAATTACTATAAGGTGGGTACACACCTAGTTGAAAGACAGTCCTCAGAGAGTAGTTACCAGTGGGTCACTGTCAAACTGGGAGAGTGACTCTAGTAGGGTTCCACAGGGGTCAGTCGTGGGTCCAGTATTATTCAACATTTTCATTAAATGACTTGGATAATGGAGTTGAGCGTATGCTTATAAAATCTGCAGATGACACCTCGCTGGGAGGGGTTGCACACACTTTGGAGGGCAGGATTAGAATTCAAAACAATCTTGATAAAGTGGAGAATTGGTTTGAATTTAACAGGATGAAACTCAATAAGTGCAAAGTACCTCACTTAGGAAGGAAAAATCAAATGCACAACTACAAAATGGGGAATAACAAGATCGATGGCAGTACTGCGGAAACATCTGGGGATTATGGTGCATCACAAACTGAATGAGACACACTAATGTGATGCAGCTGTGAAAAAAGGCCAAAATTCTGGGGTATATTAACAGGAGTGTTGCATATAAGACCAAGGAGATAATTGTCCAGCTCTACTTGGCACTGGTGAGGCATCAGTTGGAGGGCTGTGTCCAATTCTGGGGGCCACACCTTAGGAAAGATGTGGACAAATCGGAGAGAGTCTAGAAGAAAGCAACAAAAATGATAAAAAGGTTTAGCAAACCTGACCCGAGGAAAGGTTAAAAAATCCTGGGTGTTTAGGTTTCAGAAAAGAAGGCTGGGAGTAGGGGGACCTGATAACAGTCTTCAAATATGTTCAGGGCTTTTATAATGAGGATGGTGATCAATTGTTCTCCTTGTCCACTGAAGATGTGCAAAAAGTAATGGGTTTAATCTGCAGTAAGGGAGATTTAGGTTAGATATTAGGAAAAACTTTCTACCTACAAGGGTAGTTAAGCTCTGGAATAGGCTTCTAAGGGAGGTTGTGGAATCCCTACCATAGGAGATTTTTTAAGAACAGGTTGGATAAACACCTCTCAGAGACAGTCTAGGTTTACTTGTCCCTGCCACGGCACAGAGGGCTGGACTTGGTGACTTCTCATGCTGCCTTTCCAGCCCTATATTTCTACGAACACGGTAAAGGATGTCCAGGAGAAGGGAATTCTATTCAGTTTCTTCTGCCGCACCCTTGCTGGGGTGCTTGAGTGCAGTATCAGAGGCATAATTGGGGGTTCTTATGTGTGGCAGCAGTAGGAAGAGCACCAATTTCTATTATTCCCTGAGCCCAGAAATTCTCTTGGTGCCCTGACACACAATTTTGATTAAAAAAAAAAATTGAACATGTTCCATCAATTTCAGGGCCTGATCCCATGCCCGTTGAAGTAAATGGAAAGACTCCCATTGATTTCAACACACTTAGGACCATATCCAAACTGCAAACATGTAGTTTATGGTTGAAAGCCCCGATTCTGCAACATTCTTAATCTTATACTACTGAACGGGATTAGTAATGTTTAAGTACCTTGCTGAATCAGGGCTTAAAAGTTTGCTATTTTTCCTACTGTACAAAATATAAGAAGAGTAAAGGTAAAAATAGTAAAAGAGTATTTTGTATTGTAACTATAAACAACAATTAGTAATTTCAAATAGAAAAGAGACTGAAAAATAACAGTGAATTACATAAAGTAAATGCAATCACACCTTTGCATTAATCATTTGTACTTCAAAGCTACAAATCAGATTAACACTGCAAAATCTAATATTGCATAAAATGAAAACTTTTTATGTTTTCATAGAACATTTGTCTTGAGCTGATTTTGATTTAACATGAAAGATATTGTGTATAAAGGCTATGCTTACAATAATTCTGTAAAACCCATACAGCAAGAATGAGAGTGCCTGTGAAAATGCTTACGAGCTACGGAGAAATTATTTAAAGGGGATTCCCGTTGGTCAACATCCTGCGGCCGCTCTTTGTAGCCAATGAACGTGCCATCGTTCTTCAACAGAAAATACCTTGGCCTCCATGTCTTTATGTATTCTCCTGGAAAAAACAGAGCAGAAAAGACAGTAAAATATTCCATATATTCCATCCTAACTCCTCATGTTCCAGAATTCCAATGAGAACTTCTTTAAAATATTGATACTGTACATCCTCTTAATACAGAAGGCATTTTAATTCATCGTTTGTTCTGCTGCAAACAACGGAAAAATATAGGCATCAATTCAGATATTGACAGTGGATTTAACCATAAAAATGGGACTTCATAAAAAGTAAATAGGCATAGATGGGGGAAATATAGCTATTTCATTCAAATTCTGCAACATCTGCCTTAAATGCAATTTAAAATTTAAAAATCAGAGCAGATGTCCTACGTATTATTTTTGCCATTGTCATTTTTCATACTGACACGTGGAGACATTTTTTTCATTTACATTTTGCAGCGCAAGTATTTTAAACAATGGTGGGTAATTTAGTAATTAGTCAACTGCTTTATCAAACCAACAATAATTTTTAGAGCATAAAAAGGCAATTCTCCACTTAAGTTACATAACATCACTCACTCATCTAAAAGAATGAAGCACAGGAGAGATCGCAATGTGAACGGTAAAAACCTAACTTTTAATATGCAGAAGTTCCAATGGTACTTAAAAGTGCTCACTCTCTTTTCTGAAGAAAAACATTCTTACAGCATACCATGCCACTGGTCATATAAATGTTTTGCAGAGAGAGTGTATAGTTACACACAAACAATACAGCCACACACATAAACTCCTGGCAACAGAAGTAACAGTGACTACAAAGATCATATCTCTAATTATTTACCAGGGAAGCAGAGCAGTCTACTTGACAGGGCACTGGACTGGGATACAGAAAACATGGGTTCCATTCCCAGATCTACTACTGATCTGCTGTGTAACCTTGGGACTCCTGCCTCTTCTGCTGAGGCCCCGCCCCATCCACACTTCCTCCCTCCTCTCCCCCCGCCCCCTCGCTCGCTGCTTTTCCCCTCCCACTTCCTCCCAACCCAGGTCAGGAGGGACTTGCCTGCAGAGTCAGGGCTGGGAGCTGCAGCTACCCGATGAAGGTAGAAGGCAGCCCCAGCTCAGTAGGGGCTGGAGCGGGAGTGATGACTGGAGTCTCCCTGCCTACCCCACTCGCAGTAACCGGACTTTAGGTGTCTAGTCAGTAGACCTGACCGGACACTGCCAGGTCCCCTTTTCAATCGGACTTTCCAGGCTCCTGGTCACCCTAGGCATACCACCTCCCCTCACACTGCCTCTGTCTCCCTTCTCACTTTTTGCCTTTATCTGTTTAGACTGACAGCACATTTCTGCAGCACCTAGCACAGTGGGGCCCAATCTCAGCATTGCATTGTGCCTACAGGCCCCAATCTTGGTGTTAAACAAATCCAGGGGCTCTGCTCCAAGAAGCTTTCTTCATCACTTGCAATTTGCTAATTTCATGCAGTTTCATTATAAAAAGCATGCAGGTGCACATCCACACAGGAGAGTTCACTGTAGCAAGATATGGTGATCCTTGCTGGTTGTCTGAAGGGTTTGCTCCCAAATTAAAAAATAGACAAAAACAACAACAAAAAAAGGCACCACAGGTTATTGACCAAGGCTCCTTTATTCAG